ACCCCGCCCACTATCCATTGCAAGTTCCTCTCCACAGCCCCCACGATCACCCTTCTCACTGCCAATTGTAACCAATGTGGGCATGGCCAAAGGTCAGTGCCTAAATGTTCCCATTCCAACTTGAAACTGGGTTTCATGAGTCCAATACAATTGTGACCACTTCCCATGTATTTCTATTGTTTAATTAAAATCATCTTTGAAAAATAGAGGGAACTGAGCTTGGCAGACATTATGAGAAGTGTCTACCTGCACAATGTCCATTTCTGGAGTGGCAATTAACCCTTTGATCTTGTTTAAATAAATGTGGGTCAAGGCTTTCAGTGGGATTTTTATTGTTATTCTATGTTATGTCTCAGTTTCCTTCAAATTAAAATTATTGACAATGATTTGCTAAGTTTTCATTTTGAATGAAGCATTCTATTACTCAGGAAAGCTATAGAACATAGACTAGCATGCTTTCAAATACCTACTATCAATCTTCCAATTTACACCTCCTGTTCAAGATTTTCCAAGGGAACAATAATTAGTAAGGCTTTTTTTAAATGTGTGAGTTACTCTATTAAAATACTAAGCTGAAAAAACAGATAAGTTAATATGATTGATTTTGGGATACAAGAAATATCTGTACTTTGCTCACATCACAGAATTCTGACAACCTTTAACCCAGTGAGATTTTTTAAATTGGATCATTCAGTAAATTATGGACCTAGAAAAATTGATTCAGTTGGAAAGGAAAGTATCATAATATAGAAAATCTAGGTTAGGTTTCTCTAAATATACCTAGCCTACTTAGGACCTTCCACGGAGGTTTCTGAAAATGTCTTATTTTTAACCATTCTTCCAGTTAAGATTTTAGTTAACACATTGTATTTCAGTCATATGATATCTAATCATCACAATATTCCCTCAATGTTTATGAAACACAAAAATAGCAAGAAATATAAAAGAACAGGCACACAGTTTTATAAGCTCTGAAATGATTGCGCATATAGTATTTGACCGAAATAAACTTTTAAATAGAGTTTGGTCTAGTGGTTAAGGCACTGGACTGGAAAGCAACAAACCATGAATTCAAGTTTTACCTTGGACAGGAAAACCAGCTGGATGACCTTGGGCCAGCCACTCTCTCACAGCCCAAATCATCTCCCAGGGTTGTTGTGGGGAAAATAGGAAGAACGTAAATTGGATATGTTTGCTTTGCTCCCTTGAGTTATTTGTAAATAACTCTTACATAATTTTACTTGAAAAAAATCATCATGGTTCAGTTACACGGTTCAGTCAAAGAAATTACATTTCTTTGTAATTTCAGTTCAGTTACATGGTTACATGGTTCAGTCAAAGAAATTAAAAAGAAGTAGAATCTGGATATAACCTTGCTTAACACTGAAAAAATTAGATAAGTCGTTTATAGGAAAAAAATCAGTTTGAACTCTTTTAGGGATGCTGCAAAAAGAATGAAGGTTGACAAGAGCCTTGGTAGTACAGGGGTTTAAGGCACCCTGTTATTAAGCTTATTAAGACCAGCTGCCTGCAATTACTGCAGGGTTCGAATCTCGCCAAGGCTCAAGGTTGACTCAGCCTTCCATCCTTTCTAAGGTAGGTGAAATGAGGACCCAGTTTGTGGGGGCAATAAGCTGACTTTGTATAAATATACAAAAGGATGAAGGCTATTGCTGAGCGCATTGTAAGCCGCCCTGAGTCTTCGGAGAAGGGCGGCATATAAATCAAATTTTTTAAAAAAATTGTATGATTAACTGCTAATTTTGTCCATAGCTTACTCCTATCAATTGAATCAAAGTGGCAATAAAATCAACATGTAGCAAATATGGTTTTGATCTTCATTGTATCACATAGTTGACAATGAAATGATCCACTAGATGAAACATATTGTTCTATTATTGGAAAAACCACCTCTTAAGCCAAGCCTTGTTTTCAATCAGAATATAATTCTCTATTATTCTGTACTTTTGCAACAATGTATATAATGGATGTCTAGTATAGACATTTATACAATATTTGCTTGAGATAATCCCATCATACAGCTAATGTTTCATATTGCAATTGTAAAGTCACAGCAGTTTAAATTAAATATATTATCATTCAGTAACAACAAATTCCTGCATAATGATGATGATATAGAGTTTTGGATGACTCCAAATTTACAGTTCATTTTTAGAAACAACTCAAGGTACTCATTGAGACAGATACTCTTAGTGCAAGAAATACGGAACAAAAAGTTTGAAGTTTCAACAAATCAATGTTTGTTTTTTAAAAAAATATTCTATATAAATAACTCACTATGCCACAATACCAAGTATGTGCTCACCCATCCACTCACCCTCATCTATAAATTGGCTTACTAACAATGTATTGCTAAGAACCATGTGGTCAAGATTTAATTTAAATCTTGAGTTATTTTCCTATTTATCTTGTTTACAATATTTTTCTCATTTTGCTTTCAGGTTACTGTTTTGATTTAGGGTTTTTTCTTCTTGTTGTGTCATCTTTTTGTTCTTAGGGCTTTTTTAAAATATATATTAAAGCACAGTAAAAAAAAAAGAAAAAGAAAGAAATCCTATGACAATCCAGACTATGCAGATTTTAAGCAAAGGCAAAATCACTTTCCCCCCCCACCCCAAAAAAATCTTATTGCAATATTTGAATATTTTGTAATCCATAGAACATAGTCTGGTGGTTTCTGAAATTCTTTTTGGATATTGTAACCATTAAAACAATGATATGATTTAATTAACTAGCAAATATCTTTCTGATGGATTATCTGTAAAAATATGTATTAAGATTAGCTTGTATTTGACCAGAATAATTTATTTAAAAGAAACCAACTTAATTCTACAATTCTAATAGCTGGTTCCCATGATTTTGAAACATTTATTTTTATGCAGTAAGATTAATTTTATCATTTAAACTCATTAGGACAAACATAACATTCCAATTGTTTGTTCTAAAATGACTGATTAACACTATCCTTCATAAGGCTTTAGTTCTTTTGTATTAAAGCTTATATTCTTTTATCTATGAAATTAAATCAGATGAACAATGATGGGATTAATTATTTTCACACAGAGATCAATATTTTTCATTGTTTTTTTTTCAATTTTACTTTATTGAAGAGTGAATTCTATATTCTGAACTTTCAGGTATGAATATTTTCTATGGAATGAATGAATGAATGAATGAATGAATGAATGAATGAATGAATGAATCGGTCTCTGGTCTAAAACTGTAGCAAGTTTTTTTTTAAAAAAGAATGAATGAAATGAAAGAAACATATGTGACTGCTTACATATGTAAGGGTGTTGAACGAGAACAAAAATATAATTCAATGATCAAAAACTATTAAAGTGACATCAAGACTCCAGAAAAACCTATATACATATATTCCTACACATGTGGTTCTCCAATCCCTGTACTACATTCATGTTAGCATTATTGTATAAATAACTAGGGCTCACAGCACAATTTCATATTTCTTTGCTGCTTCCAGAGACTTATCCTGCCACAACATATGTTGCCTGTTCTGCGCAGGACTGGTTAAATACTGTCAGATGTAATTATGTAAAACCTGTAATTATGCATATTAAATGTATTTTTATGTTTTTAAATTTTGTGTAATTTTTGTTTTAATATTGTTTAGCTTTTTGAAAAAAAATAGTTTGTATTCAATCTTCTTTATGCTGGCCTATTGATCTTTGATGCGATTATTTCTTTGTATGTAGTATGTAGATAACCAATTAATTCTGTTTTCATTAGCATAGTATCTATCCCTGACAACTCTGAAAGAAGGTAACATTATTCTACCCAATCCCGTGAATTATATAATCTCTTCATCTAGATCTCACTATCTGGAGAAGTATGGGAGATATAGTTGTTTTACAAAAGCAGAATGAAGGAGGCTAACAAAATAGAAAATCATACAAGATGGAAAAACAAATCTGCAGCTAACCTGCAGCACTGAACATTCTTGATATTTGTTTGGTCAACACAAGGAAGATCAAATTTTCTTGTATTGATCTAAGGTCTCTAAGCCTTTTCAGAAAATAAAAACTGTAATTGGTTGCAACCTGCCATTTCATTTGGCAATATGCCTGGAGAAAGAAAAAATGGCAAGTGGTGAGAAGCATTCTGTGGAAGATGATTGAAGGATTGGGAACTAATATTTTAGTAAATTAAAATTAGTAAGTGACATATGTCTCCTCAAACAACCACTCTGTCAATATCAAGTTTCCAAGTGGAAGACTACAGACTACTTTCTCTAAATTCTTTCAGCCCCAAAAAGTTTGGGAACCCTGATTTAAACCACATTAAAAAGTTCAAATTTAACATTCATACCCATCTGTTTATTGTTTTTACTATATTTTTGTTTTTAAGTATAATAATTATGTTCTATCCTACTCTTTGTAAGTATAACAATTGGATGAGAATATATAATTACCAAATTATATCTATCCAATTACAGATAGGCCTCAACTTACAAAAGTTATTGACCGTTCAAAGTTACAACAGCACTAAAAAAGGTAACTTATGACTGTTTTCACAGTTATATAACCGTTACAGCCGTTACAGACATGGTCACATGTCAAAATTCAGACACATGGGAACTGACTCATATTTAAGACAGTTGCAGTGTCCCAAGGTGATGTGATTACCTTTTGCGACCTTCTGACAAGCAAAGTCAATAGGGAAGCCAGATTCAATTAACAACCATGTTATTAACTTAACAATTGCAGCGATTCGCTTAACAACTGTGGTAGGATAGGTTATAAAATGGAGTAAAGCTCATTTAACAAATATTTCACTTAGCAACAGAAATTTTGGGCTCAATTATGGTCGTAAGTTGAGGACTCCCTGTAGCTCTTTCTCTATCCCTCGGCTTCTACCCTATCTTGTTTCCCCTTTCCTGCAATACAAGAAGCTTGTATTGAAGCCTATTTTTATTTAAAAGATCAGCACATATAGAATATTTGAAAATTTGCCATTGTAGGAAAAACTGACCAAAAGGGGATCCTTATGGAATATGCAAATGACCGTATTTTTACTGCTTGGAAAAGGAAGGTGGTGAGTGAATTATCTCAATTTAATGAAATTATCAAGCTTTTTGGAGAAAAAGAGCTTATTTCTTATTTTATTATCATAGGTATGTGGTATAGAGAAACCAAAGTACAGTCTTTTAGTTGTTTTTTTCCCCTATTAAAACATTTCTAAATTTACAATAATTGTCTACTAAGAGGTAGAAATAGGATTGCGTCTCTGACTGAAAACAAAAAAGAAGGTATACTTTATCAACTGGTGCAGAATGTTTTATGCTCAAATAACAGAACATTGAACATTAAAAATGTCAGTACATTAAAACCTGGTTGCTGGCCCTAACCTGTATAATCTATCGGCTTTGCTTCAGCATTGCCTCTTGCAAAATAAATTAGAAATGTATTTCTCAAATATACTTCATTTTTAGTGATATCTCCAATTTTAACCATTGTTCATAACTTCATGTTCTTAGTGGTCCTTGCAATATTTAGCAAGCTTAACAAAAATGCAGCCTAGATCAAATTAAGCATAAGGAAAGAGTAGAAATGATGTATCTAGCTTTTATTTGAAGTAAAAAGATCCTGTAGGAAAATTTCTTTGGCCAATTAATGGTCTCTAAATCCTAAAAATACCAAGGATTATAGGAACAGATTTTCCTGAATGGGATGAAGACATAGGTTAGAAAGAGATGCCTTTAAAATATTAATATGTAATCTTTGAAAGAGAAACTCCCCCAAGGTTCTGCCCATTGTATGCTATCAGGCAGAGTCAGCATGCTCTAGGTTCCATTGATTAAACAGTGTCGTCTAATGGAACCTAGGAAGTGGGGACATCTCTGTTACAGCACCTTCTCCTCCTCCAAGGGCTTCCAATTGCCTCTATCCTGTTCCCTTTAAATGAGCCTTTAAATATGGCTCTCTCCCTCTAGGCCAGAGATGTCAAACGCACTTCGTCACAGCAGCATCATATGACTTATAGGGACTTTGTTCCCCTTCACTAAACCAGGTGTGGGCATGGCCAGCACATGACACATCTGGCCCATAGGTCAGGAGTTTGACAGGCCTGCTCTAGGCCTTGAGCTAGGATGGTTGACAGATTCCATTAAGTTGGGTTTTGTGTAGAGAAGACAGTTTTCATTGTTTCCTCTGGGCAGCTGTCATCTTTCTTTAATTTGTAAGCCACTTTGGAGCCAGGCAGCCTTAGAAATGTGTTTTATAAATACAAGATATAAATTAAATAAGGTATAAGTAAGTTATGTGTGTTCTTAAAACAGCTGAGATTTGAGATTGATTTGCCCTCAAATTAGTTTTTCCATGCCAGACTACTTTCCATGAACTTCATTAAGTTGTGTCTTATGAACCAAGTGCAAAAATGATTGTCAAACAGCCAGTAGTAATCACCAAAGAACAATGGGCTGACATATGCTAGGACACCCATTAACATGATGCCCCATTATGTTGAGATTGCCAAAAGAATTTGATTCTTGAAAAATACAAAATACAATTCAAAATAGAACAATTTACAAGGTGCATGTTTTTTAAGAAATTAAAAGAAATTAAGAAATTACATCATTCAATATTTTAGCAGCTTTAGAAAAATAGAGTAAAGCAGCCAGAAATTATGTCATATATTCCATGGCAGGGAATAGATCATGGATAGGTTTATGGATTTATTTTCCTGAATTGATTTGTTGCTTTCGAGAAATGATCTTTACTGAGGCTGTTTCTGTCTATGACATGATGCATCAAGACTAATCCCTATTGATTAGGCTTTATTGCAATTTGATAATACTGAAAGCCTCAGATAAATTGTGGACTAATACAACACATACTCTTGTACTTACTATTAATTTAATTGCAACAGTAGTCCCTTGAGTCTAATCTGTGACTAATGTATTACTAATCAGATATAGTACCTAACCATATATAAATATAAGATTAAATGAAGAGTGCAGAATCTATTCTATTCTGTTCATTTCAAGGCTTATTTAAGACCTACAACAATGAATGTGCACAGGAGAAAGCAAACTCTTGTTTTGCTTTATGATCTTCCAGTTATAAATTCTCAATCTACTCCCACACAGTTGTTGTGAGGTTAAAATGGAAAATAACCATGTTACTCTAAATTATGCACAGGAGAAGCATTGTAAAAATAAAGTAAATCAAATTCTAATGAGAGTCTGGAAAAGAAGAGTGTTGGACAAAGGCAGCCCAGACAATCTGTTAAAATAAAGAGTCTGAATAGATTCTATTAAACAGCAATTTGGTTTCCATGGGAACTAAATAGTAAATTAATTGCTTCTTGTACAAGATAATTGGGGGTATGCTGCTAAATCTGAAAGAGCAGACTCTTTTCCTTTTAATTAAAGATGAAGCTATCTAGATGTCCAGACACAAATAACAATAGAGAAAAACACCAGGATTTAAGTTACAGCTGTCAATATTTTAGATTGTTGATGTGTCCCTACAGAGTTAATGTCCTGATGGCTGATTATAATTACTGGAGTATTTAAAGTATGCATCCACTTTTGTTCAGCCTTTTTATTTCTAAATATTAAATATATTAATAAGTCTTCAGTGTCCCTACCCCGCTAGCCTTCAAGGAAGCCCTGAATAACAGGCTATTCCTCCATTGCTGGAAAAGTGGAAGGAAAGGAACTAGCAGCAACATGGATGGAATCACTTGCAGAGGTGAGGAGTACACCAGTGGAAGACCTCAAAAGCTAGATTTGGGGACATCATCTTGGAGAAAGTCCATATGGTTCCTAAGAGTCAAGAGTGACTTGAAGAAAAAAGTCAAACTTTTAAATTAGGCAAGAAGATAATATATAGCTTTTCTTAATTTGTGCCATTAGAGGTATTAAAAGTTGATTTGTGCCATTTAAAGATATTAAATCTAAACTTAAATATATGATTTATGAAGCACTTCCTGTTAACAGTATTAAGTGAGGTTGAACGGTGTTAAGTGAGTTCTTTTCTTACAGGTATTATCTTGGCAGTTTGCTTTTTTTTTTTTTTATGAAAACCAGTTGTAAATTTGATGCTGGATTAAGGCCAGCAGATACTCAGCAGCCATACCAAGGCTGCGTGAATCAATATTAAGTTGTTGAAGCCATGTGTCCCAGGTCCACTTCCCTCAGAAGAAGTAGAACAAATCACCACAGCAGCCCTATTTTCAGCCAGTTCCCTAAATAAAGTCAAGGGGAAAGAAACATTTAAACATTAAGAAAAAAAGAACTCCAGTTAGGACTTGATTACTGATTAGATTAGATCAGGGCTGTCAAACTCGCGGGCCGTGGGCCGGATGCGTCACCTGCTGGCCATGCTCACGCCCAGTTTAGCAAAGCGGGGGGGGGGAGTCACAATACATCATGTGACGCTGCCGTGACACTGCGAGTTTGACACCCCTGAATTAGATGATTCTTTGAATGGGGATAAAGAAGGAAGTTAGTGCAAAACAGGTTGGGTTCACACAGCACTCTGCCCTCCTTGAATACCATCCTATCCTCCTAGGTTAATTTCCTCTCCAAAATTAAAAGAAGGAGAGACCTGCTTCTTCATGAGCAATTCCAATTATTAATTGAATTGTTATCTATTATTGTAACACCCCTGGCTCTGGCAAGGAAAAATGTATTCCTGAGGTGCTTTTCAACTTTCTATGCCTCTGCCATATGTCCATATATGGCATAAGTAACCCCTTATATGTGAAAAACAGATATGGCTAGTACCACATACCATTTCCAGAGATTTGTACCTATAAACTATGCAGTGCCAGATCGGTGCTGTATTGTGAACAGAATATTTATTTGTAAAGATTTTAATCATTATATTGCAAAGTATTTTATCCAGATAGTATCTAGTCCCTCTCTGCACGAAATATCCAGTTCTGACTCCTATGCATGCTTGAGAAAAAAACAACCTAATTTGACTCTCAGCATTACTAGTCTTATTTTAAAGGAGGAACATCTCTCAAAATATTGTACTGCCTCAATACAGAACAGTAGTGTTCATTTTTCTCTACACTTTTCCCTGCTTTTATTTTTAAAGGAAGCTGCCCCCAGTTTGCAATACTGTTATCAGAAGAATACATATTAACTAACTTATAAAGCATTTGAACAAAACTCTTCCTGATCCTTTTCTTGATGTATTCTTTTTTAAAAAGCCTTGAGTTCCAATCAAACCTGTTTAACATTTACTAAATATGACTAAAGCTAAAGTTATCATGGAATAATGTTTCAGAATTACTTTTCTGCTTTAATAGATTATGCTATGCTGTCCAGGAGTTGTGAGTATAACAGAGGATTGAGAGCACCTAGAATCTGTAGATGCCAGTGCACAAAAACAGGATTTAGGTAAGGCCCACGTAGAAATACCAATATGCTTTGAACTTTCCTGCCTTGCCCTAAAATCTAAATCTCATTATAAAGGGTTACAATGACTTTGTAAATGCAAAACTTTAAGCATCAATGTGAATTCAGTATGCTTAAGTACAGAAAAAATTAATTCCCTCCCTGGGCATTTATAATATTTAATTTATAAATTAAATATTAAATTTAATAAATTTAATAAATTTATTTTATTATAAATTTAATTTATCAATTTAATTTATAAATTGAACACAATAATTTTCATGTAACTGTTATCAACCCAATCATGTGCGAGACATTTTTCTGGTGTATCAGGATACCAAAGTCAATTAAAAAAGAAAATTCCAGGAACCCTGAACAATTTCACGATCAGTTTACAGTTTCTAAGGACACTGTTTATTTTTATGTGTTATTAATTTACTCAGTATGATACCAAGGCAGTATGATTCATATCAACAAAACCCAAGAGTATTGCCATGGTGTAAATGATACACAAAGTCAACAGAAATCTCTCCTAGACACATGTATAAAGAAAAAAAAACCATAAATGTTCCATTGGATAAGTAAATAAGGGATACTCTTTGAAAAATAAATTGCTTCACTATATGCTATTGCAAAGTCTATCTATGAATTGAACTAAGCTAAATAGTTGCTATTAATAGTTGAATCAATGAACTCCATCCTGGTGAGGCAATGCTTCACTGTTGTCATTATACTAGCATCAAATCTAAAATATGTTGGCTGCTTTTTCTAGAATTAGCAGCTTGTGGCCCTTAGTCTACTTTCATGTGGCCTCAGCCTAATTTCCAAAAATTCCCAGCAACAAATCAGGTCAGAATTCTAGTAAAGGAAGGGCTGGCTTTAGACATGTCGGCGCCCTAGGCAAAGTTATATTCTGGCACCCCTCATGGTTTGACTCATCTTCTGATTTTGTTAAGACTTTCAAAAAGACACTCACTTGTTTCTTTTTTTTATTTCCAGTGTTTGAACTTTATAGTGACAGTTTTCAGCCCCGGATATTTTCACCCTATTTATTCTGGGGTAAATTTGTTTAACCCTCAAGCGGATGCAGTGTGCCCTACTGCTTTTCACTTTTTTATTATGTTTTTCAGAAGTCTTTTCAATTTTGGCACTCCTTAAAATTTCACAACCCTAAACCAGCGTCTACTTGGCCTTAGGCTAGAGCCAGACCTAAATAAAGCCTATCTTTCTCATAGTTTACAGCAAGAGAAAGAGAAAGGGCAAAGGGAGGGGAGAGAGGGAGAGGGAATAAGATAAGAAAAAAAGGAAACATCTCCATCGTTGTTTGAGCCTGGCTCCAATTACTCTTTGATTTTTTTCATCCACTTAATAGCCTCCAAGAGGAAAGCAACTTTCCAGTAGGAAAAAAGGGGTTTCTTTACAGCATACTTTGTGGTTTGAAGATATCACATCAGTGAATGAGGTGTGATCTCTACTTTTCCCAGTTCTTGTCCACAAGCAATAAATCTGCCTAACTTTACCACTGCCTCTTTTGCCTATTTCTGTACCCACTCTCTCTATATTGCATCTGTGTATAATATATGAATGGTTGAGAATTATTTAAAATTATACATTATACATTGGGAAATCTCTTATCAGACATCCTATGAAAGCAATTGGGGAGAGGGGGAAGAACCAGAAAATATTTAGCTTATAATTAACAGAAAATATGGGCTTTTCAGTGAAAAGACACAAAAGTCTTATCTTTAATATAAATGTTCAACATTCACTTCAGCCAAGATCAAATACTGAAATAGTTTAAACATTATGCTGTTTCAAGTTTTCTTAAATCAGTAAAATATAATTAAAATATGTCACTATATACATCATCCTCTTAAGATTTAAAATGAGTGGACTAGATGCATGAAAAAAATGCATAATATTACAAAACTATATTTTGTTTCAATATTTGTTTTTCTTTTAAAAATAATCAGATGTTTTTCATAAATATGTATAATTTTTTAAAATTCCACAGTCTTCAATTTAAAAAAAAAAGTCTTAAAAAGTGGTTTCCTGTATATAGATTAGCAAGGCAGAAAAGGTATAATTGTCTGGCAGGAAACTGAGCTGTGATATAACAGAAGCAAAAATTATACGCAGGTCAAGCCAGGATATTAGAATGGAGATGTAAGGAGCTAACCAGAAAGATTTAGAAGTTAAACTCTTTCGTGAGACATGAGTGGAAATATGTGGCCTTCCAGGTATATCTCTTCTTCATCCCTCATCAATGCCAGTGCCAATGCTATGAAAGATGAGATATTTTTGATTTTGAGAAACAAAAAAAACCCTGATAGTGTGATTAGTTTGAGCCAATTCATCTAATGATTACCCAATCCATGAAGAATTTTCTTTATGAGAAAACTTAGGCTAACTAAAACATTTTAAATTTATAATTTTAAGACAGATGTCTTCCTTTGCCCTTGTAAAATTTTTACATGGTAACTGCCAAATCCTGTGCCACTGATATTTATTCCTAGAAAAGTGAACATGGATTAATTGCAGGTCTCACTGTTTAATTATGCTTATGTTAGCGAAGAATCTGGTGTATTAAAAAAAGAAATATATTTATTACTTATTTAAAAAGAATTCCAAAAAGGGAATCAGACTATGAATGTCATTATATTATTCTTTCTCTAATACATTATCTTTTTATTTTCAAATCTAACTATCAAAGTTAATAAACTTAATACACATATCAGGGGATTTATTATCTCTATCTCTCTCCAAAACAAGTTCCTCATATGTTGAGGGTAGTTCATTGTCCATAGTCCATCCAAGCGCCATACCCCTAGAAATCTGACCATAGGGATAAAAATAGAAAAGTTATACCAGTTAACTAATTATCAATTAAGACTGTATGGTCCTCAGTTTTGACTTGAAGTTAAATACCATCAATACAATCCAAATGTCCTTTAGTAATTCTGAATCAAAGATTACATATTTCAAATACATATAGGACTTTCCTATATAATGCCTTGATAAATTTGTAAACTCTTGCTTTGCATAGTGTCTGTCATGCAACAAAATTGTTCTTCCCGTTAAATCAAAATTATGGTGCTTAAGATCATGGAAAGCTGGTTTGCTATATTTCAATCTTTCAGGTTTTCAATAATTTCAAGATTTTTAAAGGCTGAAGAATTAATCTGATCCTGTGCAAAGACAAAAATCCCTGAAACTTCTGCTACTATACCATTTATCATTAATTATGGAATAACCAACTTCTCATATGTTGAAAAAAAATTACTGAGATAAATAAACAATATTGTACCTGGCATCTCCTGGATGCGCTTGAAGGATGAACCACGTTCCTAGAGTTCTTTCAGATAGTAAAAAGAACGAGTAGGAGAGCTCTTTCCCTAAAATCCAAGTCCGAAGATCTGGTCTGCTGCTCTCAACATAATTAGGCTGCTGTTATATACAAACATTCTTCTCCTGAGCAGGAGTCCAGCTATTGATTTAGTACCAATCACAGCACTACCTATTGTATGGGTGCTATAGCAACAACAAACAAACTTTTGAAAACAGAGGAGCTATGTATTGTTTTCTGAGGATTATGCAGTCTTGACAGTCATGTGGTACATGAATTAATCATGAGAAGATTGATACTGCATGAATACTATCTCCTAATAGCCTCTTAGACTCTCTAAAAAGATATAGTGATGACCTTGAAAGGAAGGTGCCATTTAGGGAGATATAATGGAAATGCATAGGGGGAGATTGTTCTTGAAAATTCTGCTTAGCTTGCTGAATGCCTGCCAACCATATTTAACACATTTTCAATTTCTTTTATTGCATCTCCTTCCACTGAGATCCGTTGCCGAGGTATATGTAGTGGTCTACTACATCTAGTTCTTCTCCAGATATAAAAACTGGAAATGGGCTGGTCACATAGTAAGAAGAACTGATCACAGGTGGAGCAAAGCAGTCATAGAATGGATCCTACTTGATAAAAAGCGTTCACAAAAGAGATCTAAAACAAGACAGATTAGCAATATCAGCAAGTATTGTGGGGCCAATTGACAAAAGAAAGCTCATATGGATTGGAAATATGTGGAAGAGGTAGATAGACAATGGCTAAACTAAAATGATGCTTTTCTCAGGAAATGCAGTCCTGAGAAAATGGAAAGCATGAGAAAAAAACTCAAAACAATTCCACTTTTATTTTGTTTGGTATAAAATGGACCATAATAAAATTCTGATAGGTTTTCAAGATTCTGTTATTATATGCTATCACAATGATGGGGCATCCCAGGAATCCTTGCAGAATCTGTTTTGTGATCTGGACTACATCAAATTGCTGGTATTTAGTAAAGGTTACTGATTGTAGTAGAATAAGTTTTCAAGCAAGTGTTCTTACAACTACAAGAAACTGAACACACACACACACACACACACAAAACCCCATGCAATGGTTTATTACCCTTCACATATGTGTGTGACTCCCCAAAATTGATAGTCTAAATTATCACCCTTATTGTGGTTCTCTAGCAATTGGGTGCTAAATTGATGGATATGCCAATACAATCTCCCCTCTTCTGCTCAACTAGGAGAAGGAATACATGAATTAGGGCACTTAACAAACAAAAACATAGCTAATGCATGCTGTCTATATCACTTCAATGTGTACAGTTTCACTCTTGCCTTATTTTATATTAGCAAATCTTCCTATTTTCCATCTTCTCTTCTATTTTTTGCTTTGTTTTTAGAGCTTTCTGCCATTTTATGTGGGGTCAAAAAAACTTGATTATTGAACAAGAAAATTCAAATGCTATATTTTTTAAAGGGAAGTGTTTAAACTGACAAGCAGTTTGAGAACTTTGGGCATTTTGTTCTGTCCCTAGGTTCCTCGCTTCCATTGCTTTATAAATTTACTTCTTTTCTGGAATATGTTGTCATAGTCATACTAGATTGCATGTAGTGAGAGAGAAGAGGCAAGAAAAAGAAAATAGCATTGAAGGACATGACAGGGCTTAAATACATCTAAATATTCTAAAACTATGGTTTTTAAAGAGGAAGAGGGGGGGCATTCTAACTAAGAGTCCAAATAACAGAAAATAATTTGTAAAGGATAAATCCATGCCTATGGAATTATCCCAAAACAAGTCACGTAACTTACATGTACTAATAAACAAAGGCTGCAGTGCGGCCTAGAACACCTTGTTGCTGAGGTGAGGCATTGTTTCAGCAGAAAACTATTTTTTAATCCTGAACACAAAATGAGCTCAGAAGACTGGCTTAATTCTAGGATGAAAATAATAATTCCCCAGTGAGTTATTACCTTGATATAGTTGATGAAATAGTGGTTGAAATAACACGTTGGGGTAAATACATACTTGGTCTGGGTTACTTACATCTACAAATATTGCTCAGACTTCAAATTAAAAGTATTTCCGTCCTTCTAAAACAGGGATGTCAAACTTGCCTCGTCACAGCATCACATGACATAGCAGGACTTTTTCTCCCTTCCCTAAACTGGGCGTGGGCGTGGCCAACATGTGACACATCTGGCCCGCGGGCCACAAGTTTGACAGCCCTGTTCTAAAAGAAGATTCTTTTAGGATACCTGAGGACAGGCAGCTAACTGCTGGGCACAGAGCAAAGTGCCCAGCATTTATAGCTCAATCTGTTTTCTATCTCTTACCATCTCCACAGACCCAGCATGAATTTCTTAATCAGGTTGCTTGTATGTTGAAGGGTGACCTAAGAAGCTGAAAAACACCTTGCAATTTATGTTAGCAGTAAGAAAGAAAGGAATTAAAGTCAAAGGATCTTCTGCAAATACACACACTCATTTACGTGGGCTTCATAAACCAGGTTTACTAAGAAATAACAAAATCCACAATATGAAGTCCTTTTCATATCCTAAATTATAAGCCTCTCATAAGTATTCCATTATAAACTTTTCACAGTTATCATATAACTATAAATATGTGGGATTCACAAATAATTCATTATTTAAACAGTATGTTTCAAATGCTGCTCATAAGGAATGCTCAATGTCTTCTGAAGGATGCATCCAATTAATACCAATTTTAAGACAGAAATAATTGCCGAAATTTTCATTTAGCAGACATCTGTTTTATCCCTTTATAATTCCACCTGCACTTGGAAATGATGCATAATAAACATTTCTAATTTGAGCATCATGCTTTCCGGAAGTTATATTAATAAAAGACACAACAGAAATAGGGATCACTGTACTAAAGGAGTGCAGTACTAACCATTCATGTTACTGCTTTCTCGTCGTCATACACTATTGATCATAGTCTCATACTTTAATACTTTGGATCTGTACTTACATCAGGGTTGATGTTGGCATGAAAGGTCCAATGAAAGGATACAGGAAAACAATGTATAAATTATACTTTCTATTAACGTCTCTTCTTATATCATGACTTCTGCAGTCATCATAACCATTAAACAGGTCAGATAATGAAATGAGGAGGAGGAGTAACCCTGAAAAACAGGTGGAAAAAAACACATCCAAGGCAACAGTCAAACAAAATATGAGTTTGGGATAGAAATATAATTTGAGAAAGATCTCTGATTCCCCGATTCTTTATTCTTAACAGAATAATGGGAGGAAGGGAGGGAAGCGCATTCATAATTGCAAGTTTCTGTTACTATAGCCTTATAATAGCAGCAGTATCAGATTTCCTAGTCCAGTCTATCTTGAAGAGCTGACAGGTAAGATCATACAAAACACTACAGGGATAGAACATAGGATGCATCCAAAATCCAGAACTCCTGACTGAAGGGAATGAAATTTGTGGAAATTATGGCTATTTCAGTGCTACTACCTAATACTGTTGTGCTGGGCTACTCCTATGGTCACATGGTCTCCATTTTTCAATATTCTGTGACCATTTCCCAGCCAGTCTTATAATATGTCTCTGCCTTCCCCACCCAGCAGCAGCCACTTACCTGCCTATTGGTAAGGAAAGGACATGGCAGGTCAGGATAGGTGGCAGGCAGGCAGGAAGGAAGGAAGGAAGGGGAACAGAGAGGGAAGAAAAGAAAGAAGGTGGAAGGAAGATTTCCCTGCCAGCTTTCCCCAAGAAAATTCAATGGTGAAATCAACAAGAAGTTGGAAGTTGCTCCGGCTCTCACTGACTTTTTGCCCACCAGTGGTTACCCTGTTTCTCTGAAACAATGACCCAACAGGGCACAGATTATCTAGTATATTTCTGATTCTGAAAAAGGGAACAGGAAAGGAACTAGGAAGTCTCCTGTCACAGAAGTAACAAATAGGACTCCGTTAACCAACTTTCATTTCATGTTCAGTTCATTAACTCTGTTAATCAACTTTCATCTACCATACCTAGATGTTGAGCCATTAAGTTCAGGTGACTGTCAGGTAGAGCTGAGCATTTGACCTGAATATGTAACATTGCTGCTAGTTCAGTTCAGATTAATTTTTCCCTTGTGCAAATAAAAGTAAGAGGTCAAAATATATCATGAGATTGTCTGAATTATTTATATGAAAACTGGGGCATTTCTTCCAAATCTACCACTTCAATAAATGTCTTCCAGATTTAATTATTTTCTAGATTCAGTCATAGGCTCAGTTACATATGTAACTCTACAAATCTCTGATGTATATCTGCATATATGGACATTTTATTCTAAATAATTAAATTAAATATTTGGCATTTTCTGTTATTATTGCAGGATTCACCAAAACTGCAGCAAGTCTGCCCTCTGCTGGGCACAAGTAGCATGAGCTTACTCCACAGGAAACAGATGTAGCCAATATCTATGATCTACACAATCACAAAAACAAGGCAGCAGTGGGGAGGAGGAATATTTCCTGTCTGGATATACTATGTAAATAAATAAAGTAGGCTACTTAATCATCTGATTAAACAGAGTTCATAAGGTCATATTTTTTTCACAACTGTACTTAACATCTAAGAAATTAGCACAGGTTAGAAATGAGATATGTATATATGTATGTTTGTGTTTGTGTGTATAAATTGAGTAAAACTGCCAAACAATTATAAATATAAAAAGTCTAGTTCTAGATTTCTAGCATTGGCACTTTCTGTGCACTATTAAGAAATGCAACAGATGTGCCAAGGAACAAGGATCGTCAGTCAACTCTTTAGTGCAAACTGTTATAGCAAATAGAATTCTAGGGTTATACACAATTAGATCTATCAGCTGCAAAATTGCAAACAACTAGTAGGTAGCAACAAAACTTTATTGTTTTCAATGCTTCACAAAACATCCATCTAGTGGTTATCCAGAGTTTTACAGCCCAGATCTGGAAGACCCAACTCAACTACAAACTGAAAGATGCTGAGTTGCAACACATTGGGGAAAGTGGTTCAGGGAATTCTACTGGATTTTACCTATGTTGTTGGTTGTTGGGATTTATTTAAAACAGTCATACTGCATGCATATGACTACTGAGTAACTAACATTATGTCCAAACCCATACCCCATTACAAGTCTAATCCCCATTATATCCCAATATATATGAACATTTGCTCAATGTATGCTGTTCATCATAAATCACAGCATACACTGTACATTCTTCCACTTCATTTTAAAAATAAACTCAAGATGCAGAATTAGTTAATGGAAGGGGAAAAGGCAGATTTCCAGAATCATAATGTTCTATGCATTTTATGCATTGAGTGTGTTCTCTCCGTTTTTTTTTTTTTTTCTTTCTAAGAAGTTCATAACCTGGAGTTTGGAGGAATCCAAAATATTAAAATAACACTTAGAATTATATTTTAATTGTTTAGATTTTATTCTCTTAAAGAGCCAGTTTTTGTACTGATTAAAGGCACTTGGCTAGAATTCAATAGACCACTGGTATCAAACTTGCCACGTCACGTTGCTGTCATTCAAGGTTTTGTGACATTTTCCCCGTTCATGGAGCTGGAGTGGGTGTGGCTACACGTGATGCATCTAGCCTGCGAGCCGCCAGTTTGACACCCCTGCAATAGACCATGACTTCTAGTTCTGCTTTAGGCACAGAAACCAAGTAATCTTGGGCCAGTCACTCTCTCTCAGCCTTAGGAAGAAGGCAATGGCAAATGACTTTCAAGAAAATTGAAAGACTTGTCGATGCAGCTGGAAATAGTCAAGACCAACTCCAAGGACCACCATGGAACATTATTTCCATAAATAATCTGCTGCTGTCACAGCAGCAAGATCACTGCATACACAGCAGCAATATTACTTTCCAGAGATGGAAGGATCCAACACAACTTACTATGAAGAAATGATTGGTGAAGTTAATAGATTTTGCTGAAATGTATAAATTAACTTGGAGAAAATACATTATATTTATTGCTGATTAGAAGCATGTACTTTTTGTGCAAAAATGAAAAAAATGAACTAGTGAATTATGATATTGATATCAGGATTAATTATACAAAGAAAAGTAATATGATGTAACTTTAGAGAGAGAAGTTTAAATGTTTTAATAAAATTATACATAAAAAAGATTGATTCAAAGGACCAAAATAAAATAATTGTCTTGAGTAGAGAATACAGATTCATCTAATCCCTGCAAAACAAGACTCAATTTTTCTAAAAAAAGATTCTATGCAAGATAGACGCCAACTTAACTATTATAAATTAAATGTTAATTGAGGTTCTGTGGCTAGAATAGCATATAAATATAAGTTTTGTTCTATGCAGAAAAGTTGTACTTCTTGTTTTGGTTATTTATTTATAAGAAAGTAATAAAGAACTAACAACAAAATAAATAAGGACCCAAACCAATAGTAGGAGGCTCTCTCTCATCACAAATTTACTTTCAAGTGGAAGAGACAGAATTAATGGCTTTTGAAATAACCAACAAAATAAGAGTCAAACTGATTTTGAAAGGAACGCTATTCAAGAGAATTGCTGATAATTCACTGCTCATTGCCACAATGTATATTTGAAGGGAATCATTTCCAGATTTGTTCGTTACCTTCTGTCAATATTGTTCTAGATAGCATCTCTGACATTTTCACTGGAGATGCTATTGTTGATGTTGATGTCATTGTATTTCAGTATTGACCTCTGTGTCAGAATGCTTGATCTGAGTTCATGTCATATATAGTTCATTGTTTAGGACAGTGATGGCTAACATTTTTGCCATCGTGTGCCAAAAGTGGGGGGAGCGTGGTGGGGGTCGTGCGTGCGCATGCCCACACCCATAATTCAATGCACCTCATCCCCCAGTGCATATGCGTGACCCCCTGTGCTTCCCCCGCTTTTGGTACACAATGGCATGGTGGGCCTGCTAGGCCTGTTTTTCCCTCTCCCCAGGCTCCTAGAAAGCCTCTGGAGCCTGGGGGGAGCGAAAAACTGGCCTTCCCCATCCCTACCCCCGGAGGCCCTCAGGAGGCCAGAAGCAGCCTGTTTCCCAACTTCCAGTGGGCCCCGAAGGCCTGAGAATCAGCTGGCCGGTGTGCGCATTTGCACCGGAGCTGAGCTAGGGCAACACTCACATGCCCACCAATATGGTTCCACGTGCCATCTGTGGCACACGTGCCATATGTTCACCATCATGCATATAGGAGATGGGAGTTTTGTCCCTAATAGAATTAACTGTTCAATTTATAAATATGAATGATTCATCTTACCCTATTGTGCAAGCTCGAATTTTGAAGACAATACATTATTGTATTTAATAATCACAATCATTATGCTTCTTCACAGTTAGATTTTCTGTCATTTTGAGTGATGCATCAGAATAATAAATAATAAAAACTACTATAAAATTTGACAGTGTAAACAAATATTTCTAAAAGTAAGAATTCATTGTAAACTTAATGGAAGTGTGCAAAAGAGTTATATTTTGCTTTACGTATCACAAATAATTATGGATTTGCATTGTATTGTAAACAATCATTCAAGCATACTTAAATTGTGTGTGTGTGTGTGTTCTAAATTCAAAGCATCATGAGATTATAAATTTAAATCATTATTTGATTTAAATAAATCTGAATGTGTTATTTGTAATATATTTATAGGCTCTGACTTATATAGCTTCCATTTTTATTTTGTTTGGCTCTTATTAGTTTGATTTATCAAAGTTATTGCTATTGTTTAGCTTCCCTTCTTATCAGCACAATACAAAGCAAAGAAAGAAGATACTATAACTCCTTTTATACATGTTTTCTCACAGATTAACTTTAAGTAGATTGTTTGCTTTCAACCTGACAGTTTCCCCAACACACATGCACAAATCTATTTTTGACACAGATTTTATTTTAGGATGTCCTGATCCTGATGCTAAATTTGAAATGATGGTGTGAATTTTATAGAACACTATTTCCTTTTTTAAAGGATGTTCACAGCTAATCTATCATTTAAAGGGCAGACAGAGGTCAGTAAAGTAGGAAACAAAGACAGGTGGGCTAACAGAAATGTGAAACTTAATTTTTCCTATTTCTGATGTTGCTAAATTAAAAATCCTTTCCTTTTTCTATAAAAAACCCTAGTTGAAATAATTAGATATGACTCTCCCATTTTGCTTTATTTTACAGACAAAAATAATTCATAGGACTAACAAGGATGTGGTGCTGGCCAGAGGTGGTATTCAGCAGGTTCTGACCAGTTCTGGAGAACCGGTAGCGGAAATTTTGAGTAGTTCGGAGAACCGGTAAATACCATCTCTGACTGGCCCCGCCCCCATCTATTCTCTGCCTCCCAAGTCCCAGCTGATTGGGAGGAAATGGAGATTTTTCAATAACCTTCCCCTGGAGTGGGGAAGGAATGAAGATTTTACAGTATCCTTCCCCTGCCACACCCACCAAGCCATGCCACGCCCACCAAGCCACACCCAGAGAACCGGTAGTAAAAAAATTTGAAACCCACCACTGGGTTGCTTGCTCAATTTAATTATAAAGTAATAAAGATGGAATAAACTCTAAAAAAAGAAAGATGGTGGCAAACAAAGTTCTATCATTTTTATGCAACTCACAAACACAAAAAACTCAAGCTGAGCTTTGATTGTACCACCATAGGTACCATATTGACTTTTGTGACTACATCCTATGAACATTCTTGAAAGTAAAGGACAGATAAAAGTCTGAAGGTAAATTGCACTAAATTGCTTTCCTTTAAAAAAAACAAAAACAAATTCCATATAAATGAAAACAGCATGTTTTCCTATCATCACTGATATGTTCTTTATAATAACAAAGAAAAATATGTTTCCAATAAAATACTACGGTCTGGTTCATAGCAGTTTTTAATTTTTTTTCCTCCTGCCTTTATTATTTTTTATATAACTCAAAGCAGATAACATACCTAATACTCCTTCCTCTTCCAGTTTTCTTCACAATAACAACAGGTGAGTGGAGTTGGGCTGAGAGAGAATAACTGGCCCACAGACCCAGTTTTCATTCCTAAGGCAGAACTAGAACTCACAGTCTCCTGTTTTCCAGCCTGGTTCCTCTTTCTCTTCCAATGCTTCTAGGGTTTTACATTTGTTTCAGAGCTCCAATTATCATTCTTCAAGTTGTGGTGAATTCTAATAGCACTAAAAATATATTTGAATACTTACAATATAACCTGAAAGTATACTTCGCACTCTTTTTTAAGCTTTTCTATCAAGTTGGTTTGCCATTGACTTCTTCCAGGGTCTTTTGACTTCTTAGTCTACACTACATCCTTGTGTTTCTCTAGCAGTATGACAATGTTTAATTGAGTTTGCCCTTGCTTATCTTCTGAACCCTGACAAGATCAACCAGGGGCTGTCACCTGTTGAGGAAGAAATCACAGTATTGTAAGTTATTTCATCTGAATTAATGGTGAATCAAATAAAGTCTTAAGTCTATCTTTGCCCTGTCTACTTTTATATGCCCTGTCTATCATTATCTTTGCCCTGTCTACTTTTTATAAGGTGAGCA